ATTTGCATTTGTTATTAACACGTTGAATGTCATAGGGATCACCGGTGACCCCCAAGCAAATCGAATTACTATAATACACTGAATTAAACGATGATTATTCGCAAAAATTTCCATATTATAAATAATGCTATCCATTGCGATGACATTCAGTTCGATGAACGTGCAATGATAATAATCCAATTCAGTCAAATGATTTAATGTTGTATTTTTTCCATTGTATTCCATGTATTTTGCTCTATGAAATCGTGCGGCGTTCAACGTGTTAAAGAATAAGTATTACTATTCAAAACGCTAGAAATTCTCGTGGCAGTCAACGTGTTAAGGACGGAAATGGGAGACAAGAGTGAGAAATAAGAAGGTGTCGATCTCGTGTCGAGCCTCGTGATTGACAGCCTGCTGCTAGGATTAGAGGCAAAAGGATACATTTGCACTCCACTCAGGAATATTCAGACATACTCTCGTCTTTGACACGTTGCAGAGACTTATGTCACTTCCGGCGACAGCTTTTAAAAGAATGCCTTTGCATTTCCGCGACAGAGATGCTGACAGGCGGTCCCGATAGTCCGCTATTTAGTGATTCCCGACGCTTTGTCCCTCCAAGATGCCTCCAGAACAGAATAATAGTGGTCGTAGATCAGTGATACGCCCGTTTATCAGATCGGAGATTGCGGGAACCATCACGCAAGTAGCTTGAGGTTCGAATATTTAACGCTTTGCACTCGAGAGGCGACTCCCAGTCGCCAGATAATTTGATACAAGAAAATTATAACTCGTGCCTCCAGTACATATTCCATTTTCTTGTGTATTTTACTATTGTAACCCCTTGCCCTATGATTTCTTTTTGAACTACGATCAGTTCTATTAGGTTTGTCGTTAATAATTTATTTAAAAAACGAGAAAAAAGAATAGCCATATTCTATGTTTTTTGCTTTAACCCCTTGCACTCGAGAGGCGACTCCTAGCCGCCAGATGATTTGATACAGGAAAATTATAAATTTTGGTATTTACCATTAACCTTTGTATACTGCATCAATGCGTGAAATATTGAAAGGAAATAGCTTTGTCCCCTAATTTACATGTGATTTTTTGATAAATTTATTTTAAAGAATCTTGTCTACATCTAACTAGAAAGGATTGAATATTTCAAGCGAAAAACTTTCAATTGCAAAGGGTTAACACTAGAATTACTGAGCATTTAAACCGTCTTTTTAACCCTTTATAGGCTTGTGTGACTTTGAAATCACACATCAATATACTGGGTTAAATTGATTTATTCAATCTTTTATTGCAAAATGACGAACGACATTAAATAATTAATCAACTTAAACTTTTGTACACACAGACGTTTACTTTCAACGTTATTGTAACTTCAAAGTTACAAAATATATTTGTTTCAATAAAATTATTAAAACTATTGAATACATTGTTAATTTGTGTTCATATATTGATATTTATTAATTTCATACTGCATACATTTTCTTATAATCACGAAACAAAATTTGGTCCATAGAGGGTTAAAATGTCTTTATAAGAGTTAAAAGCGTGAATTTATTAGGATTTCAATTGGCTTATATTTTAGTTTAGGTATTACTTAATCAGCTTCTTTAGTCATTTTTCAAAGAGGTATTCGTACCTTTTCAGTAGTCACAAAAGAAGAAATCAAGGAATGGCTCATTTTGACCCATTAGGTAGTTCTAGTGTTAATACTGTCCTGAGTTATTTGTTTATGATGGAGAAATTCATTACTTAGTTTTCTCGTTTAATTATTCAAACGCGTTGTTTATGAAGATTGCGAAATAAAGTGGGATGATTGACTTATGTTAGCTCTACGATTCTTAAAGTAAGAAAGATCTTTAAAGCGAACGAGTCACTAAATTTTAAATTAGAATTAGTTAGCTTTCTATGAAAAATTCTGAAAAACGATGCAAGTGAACAGGGTTTGACAAAAATAAGGTTTAAGAAGGGTAAACATAACTTAAAATTCCAAAGAAGACTGAACATAACTTAAAACATCAGAAATGAGCAAACGTAAGCTTACTCTAAATAATTAGATTAACAAAAGTGACTGTAAAATGGGCAGAAAGGCTTTGCTGACAGGAAGTGATGAATAAAATTTGAATACAGTGAACATAACCTAAAATGGATAAATAGAGGAAAAGCAAGGTGCACTCTAAGTGATTTACTAAAAGCGTTTGTGTGAGCCGGATTATTAATCTAGAACCCGTCACTTCTGTCCACCTGTTATGAACCACTAAGTTACTCATTAGAAAATTACCCAAGGAGAGAAAATGCAAGAACCTCTTTAGCATACACACGCGCGGCTGCCGCGACTAATTAATTTAGTCTGATTAGAACCATCCAAGTGGAACATGGAAATATATGCGCAATCACGTCTTTAGCAGACACCGGTTAAAATATCGTTTCTTCACTTGGATCCCTCCTCAAAGAACTTGTCATAATTTAGATTTACTCGCAAGACTGTCTTAGACGCGTGTTTATTAAGGACACTTGATTGCCTGACGAAGTTATCTATGCGAGAATTATGAATTAACCATTTGTCCCAGATATACAATCAATATGTAAATTTTGACGTTATGGTCTAATTGGAAACTACTCATTAACACGTCGACTGCCACGAAAACCTTCAGAGTTTCATGTATCGCTTATTCTTTCGCAGCAAAGATAAAGAGGAACAGTTATTATTCGGTATCGCAATGCGTACGTTATACCGTTATCTAGTAATTGGCGTTAGAAAATATTTTCATTCGATATTAGTTATCTGGTGAACTGTAATTACTGTCAAGTAATTTGGAAGCTCTGATCATCGGTGACCGACGTGGCATTCAACGTGTTAACACGTTGACACACGGGGATCACCGGTGAATCCCAACCGAATCGGATTACTATAATTTACTCAGTTAACCCTCTATAGGCCGAATTTTTGTTCACGATTATAACAAAATCTACGCAGTACAAAATTAATAAATATGCACATATGAATGCGAATAAACAATATATTCAATAGTTTCCATAATATCATCGAACGTATATATTTCGTAACTTTCAAGTTACAATGACGTTAAACTTTCACGCCTGAGCGTATAAAAGTTGCAGTTAATCGATTGCCCCATTTTATTCATCGGTTTGAATGCTGAATGAAATAAATCGACAAGATTCCAATATACTGATACGTGACTTCAAAGTTACACGGGCCCACAGAGGGTTAAACTATGATTACACCTGACTCTCGATTTATGCGGACTTTTTTCGTAGTTTTTACGCGCGATCTCAATTTACACGATCTGAATTTGGTAACAGCGAATAAAATATACTTTTGTTTTCTAAAATGTCATTATTATTATTTCTTTTGTTAAGCTATGTGAAATAAATATGTATTTCTAAAACTAATACCAGCTTTTCTCTTCAATACATTGTTTTCTCTTCTACCGACAGGCTCTATTTACACGATTTTCGTTCGCGTAAAACGAACCCACGTGAAACGGATTTGCGCGTAAATCGAGGGTCAGGTGTATTTGAAAAGATTTATATATTATAAATAACGCTGCCTAACACGGTGACATTCAGCTAGACGAACAAGCAATAATAATAATGCAATTCAATCAAATTGATTTAATATTATATTTCTTCGAGTTGGGTACTTTGCTCTATGAAATCATGCGGCATTCAACGTGATAAGAATATCAAACAAACCCTATACTACAAACATCTTTATCATCATCGTCAAATTACTTGCTGAAGTCATGTACATCAAAATAAGCAATCAACCACTTCTGTTGATCACTTCTTTTGGATAGTACGTACATTTTGAGATTAGATTCGAACCGAAGACTTCCCTGAATCTACCCAGCAAAGGTTCTCTTACAATAGAATGCTCCATCATGATCATTTACGGGCCACATACACGGAAATCAGCGATTGAACAGTCGCTTCATTAGCCCCCAAGACAGTCGCCACATGAGTCTTCTTTATACCCTCATCTATCTTGCCATAATCATGGATCTTGCTAACTTATCCGAAGCAAACAGGTCCAGTAGACGACGCCATAGATTGGCACGTCTCAATTTATCGTCTGAGCTCCCAAGAGATGGTCGATAAAAGCCGAGGTCCGGTTCCAAGGGAGTTCCGTCCTGGACCCGGTATGAGGGGGATGGGGATGGACGTCGGACAGTGGATTTACGGTGGGAAGAGCACCCGCGATACGGTCCGACTGTACATAAACGGGAACGAGGCTAATGCGATTCTGTTGAACTTCGGGGACGCCCCGATCATGAAAAATCGCAGCAACTTCCTAATCACCGGACTGCAGATGTTTATGCAAATCTGTATCTTTCTAGACCAGCAGCGCCAAAACAATATCGTACTCTTGGCCTTCGGGTTTAACTATGAAATGAACTCCCGCTGTAGTTTCTTCCGAAACTTTTCTCATTAACCTTAAAAATCTAATCGAACAATAGAAATTCCTTTCCCCGAGTTCTCAATTAAGCCTTCGCTTTAAAAGTTGAACACTTAAAAGTGCAAGTATAACGTTTATTAACCCCTTAATGTATTATTTACTTTCTCTGCTAAGCTCGTGTAACATTTTACTATCGGCAATTTGTAAGAAAAGTCAGCAAAATTGTCCACTCTACCTTAAACAGAAATTTCATTTAAAGATAATACATTGATAATAGCAAAATAATTTTCTGCTTTAATGCGCGATGAACAACATTGATTTTTGTTAAATTAGTCTGGAAATCTTCATCGCGAATCTCGCTCGTCATTATATGGTACGGGGTTAAGTCCAGTTTGACATCTTCAGAATAAATCTAGGCTAATGTTACAAGGGAAAAAGTTGAAAATACAGGGAAGTCTTTTTACGAAATTCTAAAGTGACATCGTGTAAAATTGTCTTCGAACTTCAATTATAATTCTTGTTACAACCTTTGAAAGTTGCTACGAAGGAATTAAGTTTCGCGATTCGGTGATGGTGATTGTCACAGGTAACCTTATGGTGATCTTCGTGGTAAGCTTCTCCCGACGACTACGCAGCATCACCAACTTCTTCCTGGCGAACCTAGCAGTGGCTGACTTCTGCGTGGGCGTGTTCTGCGTCTACCAAACGCTGACCAACTACCTGACGAACAGCTGGCAACTAGGAGACCTGCTCTGCAAGGTCTACATGTTCGTCCACGCGCTGTCTTACACGGCTAGCGTGCTGATCCTGGTTCTAGTCTGCGTGGAACGCTACCTGGCCATCGTCTATCCGATAAAATGTAGATCAGTGCTAACCAGAAGACGTTTGAGGCTAGTGGTGGCTTTGGTCTGGCTGATAGCGGCAATTTACGCCTCGCCAAGGTTCTTTTACGTGGAGACAGTTAGCAACCGGCTGATCACTGGTGACGTGGACATCATTTGCATAGCGAACATCAAGAAACATAATAAGAATGTCCTGGAAGCATTGAACTTGGTGTTGCTGTACCTTGTGCCACTGTGTCTGATGACTTGTTTGTACTCGAGGATTGCGATTGGATTGTGGAGAAGTGGCGCCACGTTAGCTACCCCTGGCATGGTGGCTAGGACCAAGAACGACAAGAGTCATCACATGCACAGTTCTAGTAGGAATGTGTTGAGGGACAGGCGAGGCGTCATCAGGTACTATTCGAATAAAATTAGTTGAAAATTATTATTATCATTTAACCCATTTGCATCATACGAAAAAGTGGAAAATTGGTCCTCACCCTCACAAATGTTTCAACTGCATCAAAATGAAAATAGTTTGAAATGTATAAAAAATTAAGAACCTATATAGCCACACGGCAATTATTGCACTCATAAGATGTATCTTTCCTTTTTTTTGTAATATACAAATTGCACAACAGTGGCGCGAATGTATGCGCTTGTGATGCAAACGGGTTAAAACGTTGAATGCCGCACGATTTCATAGAGCGAACTACATAAAACGGAAAAAATATAATGTTTCATTCGATTGAATTGTATTATTATTATTGCGCGTTCATCTAGTTGAATATCATCGAATTAGATAACACTATTTATAATACACAAATGTTTTCAAACAATCGTTTAATTGAGTGAACTACACTAATTCGATTTGGTTGGCATTCAACGTGTTAACTAATACGTTGTTATTTTTCTCAATGACGTGTTAAAGTAATTATGCATCAGTTTGTTTGGGCAGCAATGAATTTTCTGTGAATTATTATATTATTTAGCTGTCGAATCGATTTTTAGTTTATTTCGTATTCTATAGTAAGAACTAGACACGTTCCACCTTCTGAAGAAATTTCGATGATTATCTTTAAAAAAATACTACATATATTTTCAATTATATAATTTTCTGGTGAAAAGGTATCTTCTATTTTAATTTACTTGTAAGCGAAGTTGATCAAAGTTTAATAGCATCTCTTCGAATAAGAATACGAATAAATTCGAATGCATTCTAAGCATTTCCAACGACCATTTAGCAACAAGATTTTCCAGGATGCTGATCGCGGTAGTGATGATGTTCGCCGTGTGCAATCTACCGCAACAAGCCCGAATCATTTGGCGTCACTGGGACTCGAGCTACGACCGGACATCGGACTTTAGCACGCTGCTCACTCTGTCCACCTTCTTGATCTCTTACACAAACTCCTGCCTGAATCCTCTGCTGTACGCATTCCTCTCACGAAATTTCCGCAAAGGGATCCAGGAGCTACTTTTCTGCAAAGGTTCACGAAGGCGAGCAGTTAGCCTAGCCATGGGATACACCAGGGACACTCAAACGCGACAGGAAAATGGCGCGAATCAGCCTCACAGTTCTATAATAAGGCTCAGTTCAGTTAGAGACAGTCCTCGTAGGCCTGGAACAATCACAAGGCAAACAACTTGCGAGAAGATCTCTTGATCCGAATTAATGGCGGACAGTCGATTCGACGGCCCGCCAAAGGATTGCACCGAAACTGAGCTAATTTAAGCTAGGGATTTGCTGAAAAATAAAAATAGATTTATTGAATGAAGTTTCTTGGAGACATGCAATGAATCAGATTTTGTATGTGAAAGAAGGAAATAAGTGTTGTATAAAAGCGCAAATAGATTTGTCGAGCAAGGGTTCCCAGAGCCATGCACAATCGGGAAAAGAATTTTTTACGAGAAACAAGGGAACAGTCGTATTTGCATGAAAGTTGTGTTGAATTAAGTGAAGAATACAAGATTTACGAGGTTACATTGTTGACCACTGCATAGTCGCAAGTACTAAAGGATCTACAAAGAGAGGATGCTGTAATTCAGTTTATTGAGCTCAACAGAGCGCGTGAAAGGAAACTATACGTAACAGTGGCAAAAGTGCCAGTAATTAATTTAATCTCTAAACAGTCCAACAATTAATGAAACAAATTATTTGTCAGTAGAAGATTGGAAATTTGTACCGTATATACTAAATATTATCCATCATCATAACTTAAGTTTCATTAACATTTGCAATTCGTATACAAGATGGCAGTCATATTGGAATCTACGTATGTATTTCGAGAAAGAAACTATACGTAGGAATAAAACAGAGTGTCAGTAATTAATTCAATCACCAAACATTCCAACAACGGAAGAAAAAATCATGTCCCAAGTAAATTCGAAATTTATACTGAATATACTGAACATTATCAATCGACATAACCTAAATTCCATTAACATTTGCAAGCTTCGTATATAAGATGGCGACCATATTGGAGTCCACATATTCCGTTGCTCGAATGGTTATTTCGTCCAATTTTCTCATACTACCTTGTATATAACGCCGTATCAAGGTTCAGAGCGTCAGATGTGAATCTCTTCCCGGTTATTTTCGCGATCCCACACTGATATTGGCAATTTTGGACTGTCGAATCCCCGGTGACAGGGAACTCGCATTAATTTCGCCCCGTACGGACATTTGGCACCGGCACAAGTGATTTCGCCGAGCAACTATCCTTGCTCTTAGACAATATTTCCCGCGGAAGCGCGCGGCGAGGAAAGACTGCGACCTAATACGCTCCTATTGGAACCGCAACGTGCTCAGTGCTCGTGTTTTGTGGTTATACGATACTGTGGAAGCATTTATTCCGTCACCAGCAAACAAAGACGAACGACACTTTGTCCCAGCAGCGGATAATGAATGGGAACAATGCACGCTTACCGTCGTCCCTCAAACGATCCTGCGAATTTTCTTCATCGAGACGTGAGTAACGCCCGATATATAACTTAAATGTCGTATTACATCTTTTTAGAGGAATTAGTATTAGTAAACAAAGGCAAATTGGATTGTCGTCTGTTTGATAATAAAGAAATAAAACTACTTAACCGTTAACATCTGCCGGCAGTTATTTATTGATCCTTTAACACGTTCAGTGCCGCACGATTTTGCCGAGACAAATATAGAAAGTGAAAATAATATAATATCGAATTATGTAGTTGAATTACGTTGTTATTATTGCAGATTTGAATTTTTGAATATCAGTGCGTTAAGTGGTACTACTTATAATATAGAAAAGTTTTCAGATAATCATCGTTTAATCGAATGAAATATAGTAATTATAATTGGCATCCAACGTGTGAGAGATCAATAATTAACAACTGAGAATTTTTTAAGAAAATTCGCAATGGCAATAGTAATTATCATTGTAAATCGATCAACCATCTCGTTTAACATAGAAGAATGATTTTTTTAAGGTTATTATGTACAAGAAAACGATCAAACTTATTTTTTATTGTAAAGTCTATTATTAGGCTTTCGGTAAAGTGTTAATATAATAATAAAAGTTGAAAAAGAATTTTGTAATCTGTCTTTGGCAAATGACAAGTAGGAAATGAGGAATATAGTTTGTAATAAATATGGCCTAGCATCTTATTTCGATCCGATTCGCCTCTGTCCACCCTATATAGTATTGTATGTATCACATACTATATTTAACACGATACTTTGTATAATTTCATGTCAGTTTTGTTTTAATTCAATTCCGATGTTTCGTTTCAGATGAGATCGAAATATCTTCAGCTACCGCGGACGCCATTTTATAGAACGCCGTTCGACAAAATGGCTGCCATAGTCTCGTATTCCCCTTATTACCGTTTTAATTTGGAAAATATTATTGAAAGATTATGTTCATTACATTACAAAAAAGGAAAACGTGTAAAATTATTGACTCGCAGTGTGTTACATTTCGTGCATTTATTTCACTGAGTACTGTTAACTTCAATACTTACAATCACAAAATATCAGTACCCATTAAAAACATTATTACTAGACTGTGAATCTTTATGCATCGCGATCGAAATCTCCAAGATTTGAAGGACCAACGATTTTAATAAAACTCATTTATTTCATTTCCAAAGAGAAAGTAGCGTATTTAATGTCAATTTCTCTAAATCCGCATAAACATTCGCAGTCCAATCACCGACGTGAATAAGCAAATTTCAATCAATTACGTCCCCTAAGATGGTCGACGAAACGCAATTTTAAGACGAATAAAAAGGAAAAAAATTCATTAAGTTTGCCTCCAATCATTGATATCAATCAGCAAACTTCAATCAATCACGTCCCCTAAAATGGCCGACAAAACGATCATCGCGTTAACGAAACGCAATTTTAACCGGACGAATAAAAATAAAACAAATTCATTAAGTTCGCCCCAATTGCGAGGTAAACCTCTTAATGATGCAAATCGATCGAACGTGTCAGGTCATAAATGTATAGCAAATTTTCGGCAGTTTCGGGAAATCCCCGGCGAGAACACGGAACGAGGAGGCGGCTGGACGGGAGGCAGCGGCGGCGTGTAACGTCAGCCCCGATACCACACGCAACGCTGCCTTGATCGGAACGTTTAATGCGCACGTGGATCAAACGTTAATCCCGGCTACCTCGTGGAACAATACCACCCGCGAAAATCGTGTTGCTGCTTGGCTAATGAACACAGGTTGCAGCTGCTCTTTCCGAGTATCGATCGACGACCGTGCTACTTTCTGCCGAGGCCGGCCGGCGATCGACGTCCTCTTCGATCCACTCCGTTTACTCGGCCAGTCGAGGATCTTGTCGATGTGTACTTCATCCTCTACTGAAAGATCCTCTTGAGTCTTGTACAACATGTTGAATCTATCAGCTTGCAGCCATTTACGTACACAGGGATTTGACGATCTTAGGTTTACGGACATTTATTGTATAGTTTGTTCTATTGGTCTTACAAAATTTGATGTTCGTTCATTTAGATTTTGGAAATTAGAAGTTTCACGGTAAAACTACATTTTACACAGTTATTTTGACTGGTTTCGGTTTTTTTGTTTCGCAATTATTGGTGTCTTGAAAGCGTTGAATGTTTGAAACGATCCTGAAAATAAATAGATTCACTTGGATACTGTAGTGAATGTCAGAAGAAACTGAAAATAATCTACTGTTGCAGTTTTTATAGGGATTGCATATCAATCGTATAAAATGCTCGGTGGTTCTAGTGTTAATGATTGGACAATTGGAATAGACATTTGTATTGCTGCATCAATTAACGTCGACAGAAACGTTTATTAACACTAGAACTACCGTGCCAGTCAAAACGACTGGTTTCGGTTTCCCTGTTTCGCAATTATCGATACCTTGAAAGTATTGAGTATTCGAAATGGTTCCGAAAATTTCACTTGAATACTATAATGAATGTCTGAACAAAGTGAAAATAATCTATTGTTACAATTTTTGTACGGATTACATATCAATTGTATAAAACGCTCGGTAGTTCTAGTGTTTAATAATGTTTGTAAAATTCAATATGCTTTAGATTGACGCGTTCCGTGAACCTCGTGTTAATGTGGATACCTGGTGTTAGAGCTGACCCTGGAAATTGCTATCTGTGAATGGCTGACATATTAATACGACGCTTAATTATTCGATGAAATTGAAGGTTTTACGTGGTATCATGAAGTTTGACTTGTTTTGAAGAGAATTATAGTAATCTGAGTTAAGTTTGAGTTAGTTGAGCATCGTGGATAATTGACGTAAGATTTTTCAATAAAATTCAAGGATTCACTTGGTACCGTGAAATCTAACTTATTTTCAAGAGAATTCTAGTGGTCCGATTTCAGGCTGAGCTAGTTGCTTCTCTTGAACACACGACGTAATAATACGACGATTGTTTAATGAAATCGAAGAGTCCTACAATTTCATGTTACAGCCCTCACTTCCAGATTCCTCTCCCAAATTCCACTGGAATTGCGAGACGAATTGGAAAAGATCGCTAATAAATTTAATTATTGCAGCTGAAAGTATCAGCAAAAGTCGCTGATGAAAGTTTCGTCTGAACACGACAGTCATTGAGAAGGACGTTTAATAATGAATTGCATTTAATTCATCCGGGATTATACATTCCCCCAATTTTACAATTCTCTATAAAATCGCCAACACTATTCAATCACACGTTTTCTCACCTTTCATCAGCAAATTTACCGATTTCCAATTTTTCCCAACGGAAAGTCTCAAATGTCGTTCAGGGAATGCTGATCGAACCATGGATCACAGGATACACCCTACCGTTATGGTGGTAACTGTGAAAACCACTGAACCGCGTTGCATGATCGATAACTTAACTCTAGAACTGCCAAGCATTTAATATGATTAATATGTAATTCCTATAAAAATTGCAACATTAAATTATTTTCAGTCTCTTCAAGCACACATCATAGTATTCAAGTGAAACCATTTAATTCCAAGATCATTTCGAATATTCAATGCTTTTAACACTTGATTTACGGAGATTTATTCTATACTTTATTCCATCGTTCCCAAAAGAGTGTATGTTTCTATATCGCGGAAATTAGTGTTTCAAGAACAGAGAATTACAATGAGTATTCGCAAAATTGCATCAATTAAGATCGAGTTAAACTGTTACAAAATAATGTTTCAAAGCTTCAATATCCGTAAAACTGACGGGTCCCGTAAATCTAGTATTAACCCTTTGCACTCGAGAGGTCAGTCACTTGATTTGACGCAGTAAAACTATAAAATCTGACATTCAATGTTGAACTTTGTATAATGCCTCGATATGTGAAACATTGGAATAAAATAGTTTTGTTTCTCTATGTACTTGTGATTAGTTTCAAAGAATATCGTCTTCGCCTCGTCAAAAAACGTTAAATATTTCTAGTGAGAAACTTCCGAGTGCAAAGGGTTAACAGTAGTTTCATTGTTTTCACTATTCTCAATCTAATTAAATTCTTCGCCATTTCGCAAACATTTATTTGTACCCCTATGTGCCCTTGTATGTAGCGGAAATAAGACCTGAATATTTTTCAGAAACTTCCGAGTGCAAAGGGTTAACACGTTGACTGCCACGGTGGTCACCGATGACCGGAGCTTCCAAATTACTGAAGAACAGTTACAATGAAAAACTTGATTTTAAATAAGAATATTTAGTAACATAAGTAACTGGATCATAGCGTAATATGACTACTGTGATACTAAGTCATTAATAATTATTTTCAATATCATTTGTCTTTGTTATTAAAGAATAAGTATTACTATTCAAAACGCTAGAAATTCTCGTGGCAGTCAACGTGTTAAGACATCAATAATCGCGACACAAATAAATCGAAACCAGCCATTTTGACTGATACGATAATGTTAACACTAGGTTTACGGAGCGCATCATTTTGACGCACATTGAATTTTGTAAACATCACTTGGTAAATGATTCGGTCGGTTTTGGTTGATCCTAATTGTTCAATAATATATCTTAATTGTCTATTTTTAAATTTATAATTTTCAAAATCTAAATAGGCGAATGTCAACTGTTCTAGGAACAATAGAATAAACTGTACAATAAATGCCCGTAAACCTAGTGTTAAAAGCGAGTGCCGCCCCGGAGAAAGGCAACCGGATCAACGCCGTTCTGATATACACCAATGTTCCGTGTTATTTCGTACCATTTCGCCGCGATCGATTAATTACGAAAGGAACGAGAAGACCGATGCTCGTCCGGTGGCGAACGGGCACGAGATAATAGTTGACAGTCAATCGATAACGGGCTAACAAAGCGCGAGAAGTATTCCGTCGGCGTTGCCGGAGGCTCGCGTGCGCCCGGAGACGTTTCACGGAATTAATTAAAATAACGAGCCGCTTCCAGACACTTACTTGTCCCGGGCAGAGTCGCTGAGTCCGTTCGTTGCCACTCGAATCCGGCGTGTTTGCCCGGCCAGCCCGGTGTACACTGTCAATCAAAGATCACCGGGGACAGCTTTTACTCCGGGAGTTAGGCAGCTTCAGGATGACGGCCATTTGTATGACACGCGAATATACATATTTGCTAGTTTCTAGGAAATCCGTAATAATTCTGAAAATTCGTTCTTCAATGTTGATTCCATCGACGGTTTTCCACGCTTTCCTGTCTCTCTTTTGACAGTTTCAGTCTGACGGAATGTTGCCGCTAATGTTGTTACGAAGTCATTTCCACGCGCAATGGAGGAAGAGGTTTTAACACATTGTTGACCGACAGTTTTACGCAGAAGCTATGCTATGTTACCGGTTTTTGTAATTAAATACGAAAGTGAAACAATCTGAAGGAGCTTCAATATATCTTTATTGTATGTAATGAATTGAAACGAAACTTCGGGCATATCTTTTAAATAAATTTTAATATTTTGCTTTTGCAATATTCTACACTGCCCTGCACTTCAAAATAGCCAATGCTAGTGCGAACAGCTTTTGACTGGTGACTCGAAAACATCCTTTTGTAGCGTCTGGAGCGGCGTAGTATTTTGTGAACTTTTGTTTAACACGTTGAGTGCCGCACGATTTTGCCGAGAAAAATATACAAAATGGAACTAATGTAGCATCAACTTATGTAATTGAATTACGTTATTATTATTGCAGGTTTATCTCGTCGAACGTCTGCATTAGGTGGTATTACTTGTAATATAGAAAAGTTTTCAAATAATCATAGTTTAATCGAATGAATTATAGTAACTCAATGTAGTTGAGGTCACCGGTGATCCCCGTGGAATGCAACGTGTTAAATTCTCCTTGTATAGCTCGCAAATGGAAAAGCTTGCCTGACCGGAAGCAAGACTTCGAAATCGATTCGCATGGGGATCGAAATTAGAAACAATTATCCTGGTGATCCTGTACCTTCGACAATCTGGCCGCATCATTTGCATGCAGATGACGTCCACTGGCGGACTACAGAAATTGCTTAATGCCGCTTTTGTGGACGTTTTTGTGGAATCTCACCTGACTTTGCATCAGTGACGGCTCGCGTATAGGCACTGTGGAACTGCGGCACCCCCAATTTCCGCTTGATATTATCGATAACATTTAATATAATGAATCCTTCTTTCTTTAATCCTTTCTTTATACTTGTACAATATATAATCCTTAAGCTTAACATCGTACAATGACGAGTGAGACTCGTGACGAAGATTTCTAGACCAATTCAACAACAATAAATATTATTCTCTACCCACTGATCGAAGCAAAGAACTATTTCGCTATTATCAATTTATTATCTTCAAATGGAATTTCCACTTGAAGTAAAATGGAAAATTTGATTGCATTTCTTCGAAACTGTCGATAGTAGAATGTTACACGAGCTTAGTAAAGAAAGTAAATGGTACGCCAAGGGGCTAATCCCTTGGCCTATGACTTCTTTTTAAACTCTGATCGATACAGCTACTTTGTCATTAATAATTTATTGGAAAAAGGGAAAACTTCTAAGCATATATTATGCCTGTATTTCCTTTTAAGTATAATAGTTGATTACAGAGGAACAATATTTACTTTGAATTCGAATTAACTGAATAATATACATATATTTGTTGAATCATGTTGAAAATCTTCACCACGAGTCTCACTCGTTGTTGTAAGGCAAGGGGTTAATGTCAGTAGCCATCTCCCAGTTTATGAAAAGGATACAAACATTTTAAAACAGAAGCTAAACATTTTCTGGAGCAGCACCTCCGCTAATTTTAACTATGAACCGCCATTCCTTCGCATTTAGGCAGGGAACCTAGGATCATCCTTGTGACGAGCAGATTATGTTTTTGCTATTTTCCTGATGCATTCGTACAGGCCCTCTTTCCCAATGAAATCATGTGAGCGTTATCATCGGTTTTTTGTTTCGCCCGGGTGTTATCGGACAGGGTCTCGGGTTCACAGCCGGCTAACCGGTTAGCGTCGGTCCATCGGTATCTTGGCGTCCAGCTTTGCGGAACTTTTATCGTCCCGAGGCGGACGATCTCCGAGACGTTTGCATCATTGTTTCGGTTAGCCGACGATCCGGTCGTGGATAAAATGGAAAAATCTCTGCGCATTCACGATACGGGAATGGGATTAACGAAACAACACAGCCGGGGCATGCTATCGAGGGAAACATTCGATCCCAGTAGGCGGGGATTCTTCGTATGCCAATAATGGCCAGTCCAATTATCGAAACCACCGCTCCTTTTCAGCAGTTTCTCGGAAACGTAAACAGATTCCGATTCCCTTCCACAACCATTTGGCTCTTATTGTTAGTCTAGTACAGTCTTCGAAGTAAGATCTTCTAAATCCTTGATACATCACTTACACGCCCAAAACATCAGTGGAACCTGAAACACACAATACCAGATTCCAGTTTTACTGCAAAAAAAGAACGGATAACATTATCGACATTTGTAACGAACGTGAACGAAATCTCGTTACAGAAGACACTAGTGCCTTGCGATACCGTTATGGTTCGAGCTCCGAAACACGTGTCGCAGTATACCCACCTTTAACCTTTAGCAGACTGGCAGTTTTTCATAGAACTAATGGCCCATTTTTTCCAGATATCGTGTAGATACAATGTATATTTTAAAAATTGTTCAGTCCTCTAAAATATGTTTACCGATCCCCCAAAGGTTACCCTGCTAATCGGAAAAGGCGATTTGACCCGTCGTTCTTGCTCTCTTTCGCCGACTCATCACTATCTTCTATATTTCATAAATAATTCTTGTAATTTGTTGCATCATGATGTCTACATCACACTATGGTACGGCTTTCATTGCCAAATTGCGTATGCACACGCGTTCGCATCCTCTAACTCGCAAAACCTGTTGTAGTACTAATTTTCAATCTGATTTTTCTCATAAATTAAAGCCCAAGGACTCTTTGTTATACACATTTTATTCGTTTCTAACTAAGTCGTCGATTTTACTGAAAAAATCACTCGATTAATATAATCTCTAACATTAATCATCAAACCTAAGTAAAATTATCCCTTCTTCGCTGGTGTCTTCACAAGGATCCTCTTGCTACACGCGAACCGCCATTATTAAACTGCGGATTTTTCGGCATTTACGGGAACTATGGAAATGCAAAATTGCACAGAATTCACGGAAAACGAACAAATCTATAAAGTAGAAATAAGAATAACCAATTTCCACAGTGGTTCCATTTTTCTAATTACATTCTTGAAATTTTGAATTTGCACGAAGATCCACTTGTCTAGTCGTTATAAGGCTGAAACGAAATCATGAACGGCAAGTAGAATTTCGCGAATAAGTTCAATAAGTGTTAGCTTATCGTTCCGGAAAAAACAACGTCGTAGTCAGCCAGATAAAGTTATTTTCCACGAGGAACGATAACACGGTCCGCTGGGGGTACGGCAGACAGAGATCAGCACACGAGGTTCCAGTCCGCGAGGATTGTAATCGGTGTTGATCTGACGACACGTTTTAAAACACGTTCAAAGTTCGTTCAAGTGGACGTTATCGTGCAAGAGAAATAAGAGCGAGGAATAAGAAGAATGAACACGCGGCACGATAACGCTGTGACGATTATTGTTATTGCTAAATCGGACCCCCAGCAGCAATTGCATCACCCGAATGACCCCCAGTGGAAAATACAATTATTTTGCGATTCGCGAACCGGCCTCTTGCGTGATGCTCATATTTTTCCATCATCATTATTGAACGCCAATGAGCTAAGTAGCTAGGACGTTCGACCGAAGGCAGTTGCTGAAACGAAACTTCCAAACTTTTAGCTAGCCGGTCAATTTTACTGTAAACCAACAACTTTCGTGAATCGAATTAATTAAATTCAACCGGAGAATGAAAACAAAAGGAAAATGTGATATGAATGAACTTCCTGCATGTTAACAGGTTAAATCGATATCGATAAACGATCAAAAGTATTTCATTCAGAGTTCACCCGGTCTCCGACAGGTGTCGCTTTCACTAGAAATAAAATTCACAATACACTTATTTTTGCTCCAAAGTAATCCCTTCAAACATTTCATATTTAAGTTTATAATTCGTCAAACTTAATTTACTTCTAAACAAAAATTAACAGGTCTAAACCATCTATTCTGCTTCACTAGTAAAAATATCGCATACGGGGGTCCAGTGAAGTCAACAGACATAATGAAACGAATTTAATTGAAAGCTTACTCTAGCTAACATCGATTAAGACGATGACAATTCGTATTAGAATAATTGAAGAGTCTCCGGCGTACATTTCCTTTAAACAAAACGCGACGACTACGTGCGAATGTTGTTTGCACTGGTCGTGATGTTGCACCGGCACGATCTCTGGACGTTGGAAATGGCGGTCCAGTGTGCCGCGAGGAATTTCTCCGTTTCATTCGATGCGTAATGTGTATCGCGCGAACGGAAGCTGGAATCGAGTCGCGGAACGGATTTTCTAAAATTCGCGAAGCTGGTTTCTATCGGTGAATAAGGACGAGCGACGGTTGGGCCCGATTTTCCGGTGATCGGCTGAGTGGGGGGCGCCACTATAAGAAGATTAATCACCGACGGGACAAGACAGTTCACGGTTGGATCGCTGATCAGCAACAGACGCCACGATCGTCGCGAATATTCGACCGCTGTTCACGTTCGCACGAGGTATTTACATCTCGATCTCAGGATCAATTACAACAGTTATTTAATTCCTGTTTGCGTGGTTTGAACTTATATAAACGACCATATGACTCGATCACAATTTGATACTATTGATACTAAGCTTGATGCTTTTCTATTGGAGCCTTTTTTTCATTAGAGTCCCGAGAAAGAATAATTTCATTAATTCTTTTTAAGTAAACAGTACAATTTGGCAATTTTGAAACCGTAGTTCTTACACGTCGCATGAAATTGTCAGTAAATTTAAACTTGGTTTAAGTGGTGTACACCTAGCGTGTATATTTGGATATTTGTTAATGAGTATAGAAGATAGTATGAACTGTTGATTGGTAAAGAATAATTATCAGTTTATTTTATTACCAATAAATTGGTAATAAATAAATAGATAATTTTATTAGCGGTGTAATAGAATTACATTATTTGTTGATAATAAAGATTTCTGACGCATTCAGCCGAGCTTAAATATTCTCAACGGTCTTTTCGTTTGTTCGAAGATAACATGTCTGCCAGAATCAGAAGTGTCTTCATCAGCGATCCTGTGGACGCCTGCTGCGGTGAGCTGCTGGCTCGTCACGGTGTCCCAGTCACGGTCAAAAACAAATTATCCAAAGAAGAGTTGATTAAAGAGCTTCAGGTAAATTTTTATAATTATTTTTCTGTCAAGTTCACGGCTTCAGCTGAACCGGATCGCGAACCACTACTGGTCCACCGCGTATATACCCCGTAAACGAATTTTCTTTTCTCATTATGTTCATTTAAGTAACCTGGTTCTAACTTAATTAGCCCTAATTTGAATATTGTGTTCTAAATTCATTTTTTAATATCTCCATTCAAAATTAAAATCTTCATAATATATCATTATAATTCATTTATATAAGTCTAACATAATATATAATTAATTTTCCCATCAAATTTCAATTTCATCATACTTTAATTTATACACCATTCTTTCCCGTTTCTTTGTTCTTATATATTCTTCTTACGTGTTATTTTTTTCTAATCATTATTTACTTTTTCTAATCATTCTCATATTCGCGTTCGCTCCTTACGTCTCGACTGTTCATTGAACGAATATTAATTATTACCGTTACAAATCAACAATATTTGGGGACACTATTATCTGATCAGTGTACATTTATTATCGCGTTACCAGCTAATTGTATTATATTATATTACATTATCCGTGAAACACGATTCGAATGTGACTAACCATTTTCATAAGAGGTGTTACTGTTTAGTGGACGTTAATAATTCAGCGATACCCGATGTTTCGATTGCAGCTCTCACTCTCTAACTGGCATACAGCATCCCTGCCCTCCCCCCTAACCCGCTGTTCCCGCGGCTATCAGTTAATTGCTTGCACTCCAACGATCGAGCCGGTTTGAGCCAGTTCGGCCGGCAATCGAGAATACCGGTTAACAAGTAGCCGCGCGGCACATGATCTGACTTTCTCGCCGCTGATAAGCACGTGCTATCGACTACCGCATTGTTGAGGAGCTTTCTTCGCACGGGACGATGCCAAGCGATCAATCTTCCACGCGCTTTCACATGCTACCCCCGAATTTTTTAATAAATCAAATTAAGCGTGAAGTTCTTTTGACGCTTTACTCGACGTTGAACAAATTGCCTGTTCCAGCCACCATGTTCACCAATTTGATACGCTTTCCACAGAAGACGAGTTCACTCGTCACTTATATTCACCCGTGCCTCCAGTACATATTCCATTTTCTTGTGAATTTTACTATTGTAACCCCTTGCCCTATGATTTCTTTTTGAACTACGATCAGTCCTATTAGGTTTGTCGTTAATAATTTATTTAAAAAACGAGAAAAAAGAATAGGCATATTCTATGTTTTTTGCTTTAACCCCTTGCACGCGAGAGGCGACTCCTAGCCGCCAGATGATTTGATACAGGAAAATTATAAATTTTGGTATTTACCGTTAACCTTTGTATACTGCACCAATGCGTGAAGTATTGAAAGGAAAAATCTTTGTTCCCTAATTTACGTGTGATTTTTTGATAAATTTATTTTAAAGAATCTTGTCTACATCTAACTAGAAAGGATTGTATATTTCAAGTGAAAAACTTTCGAGTGCAAAGGGTTAAAATACAATGATTCATAACGGATGAATAATACTTCATTTGAATTCGACAGAACTGAGTAATATTTATGCTTATTATATTCTGTTTGACATCCTCAGCACGAGTCTGACACGATATTATAAGGCAAGGAGTTAAGGATAGCAGGTCTACTAAGAGTCAGCCAATTAACTGTGTAATTCCTCGTTGCAGAATCACGATGCCTTAATCGTCAGGTCGGAGACAAAGGTCACCAGCGATGTTTTTGAGGGTTGCCCGAACCTCCGTGTGGTTGGCCGAGCTGGAACCGGGGTAGACAACATTGATCTCAAAGCAGCTACAAAAAAAGGAGTCATAGTACTTAAGTAGGTCACTTCTTGCCACTTCTGGACTCTGTTCATTATTATCTATCCTCTTGAGACTGCAGAATAGAAAATACATGTACCTATGTTCCGCATATAATACAAGTGTATACCTACTTCGAATATATTTGAATTTGAATTTATGAATATAAAAATGTATACCTATTTTTCAGCACTCCAGGCGGAAACAGTATCAGTGCCTGCGAGCTAACCTGCGCATTGATCTCAGCTTTGGCGCGAAACGTAGCTCAGGCAGCCGGAGCCTTAAAGGAAGGACGATGGGACAGGAAGCTTTACTCCGGTTTCGAGTTATCCGACAAAACGCTGGCTGTGCTGGGCATGGGGCGAATTGGTCGTGAAGTTACTCGACGAATGCAAGCATTCGGGATGCGCGTGATCGCGTTCGACCCGCTTCTAACAGCTGAAGACGCGAAAGAACTAGAGGTAGAGAAACTTAGTTTAGAAGAAATATGGCCTCAAGCAGATTATATCACCGTGCACACACCGTTAATTCCTCAGACAAGGAGTAAGTTGCATACAGCGACCGGCCTTCATTTAACCCTTAACAGCCGAGAGCTTTGTTTGTGATACTCGCTCATAAGACGTTATAATACGGTAAATATTTTCTGTCAGTGCGTGATCAACAAACCAATAATGTAATAAGTTGCAATATTTGATAAAAAACACTACAGCGATGATAAATAAATGAAATTACAACTAAATTCTTTTCATGTCCCCGTATTGGGGCCTTTCGGCCGTTAAGGGTTAAGTTGTGAGCCAAGACTTAAGTTAATGCTCATTATTATAGACCTAATCAACGCGACCACATTGGCCAAATGCAAGAACGGTGTACGCATTGTGAACGTGGCTCGAGGGGGTATCGTAGACGAGGAAGCGCTGTTGAACTCGATTGAATCTGGCCACTGCGGAGGCGCGGCTCTAGACGTGTTCGTTGAAGAACCACCGAAGAACCCCGTCACCTTGAAGCTGATCGCTCACCCAAAAGTCGTCGCAACTCCTCACCTTGGTACGAAGTCAAGAAACTAAGTGGTGCAATGTTTGATTAACGCACGCGGCACGTTGTAGCCTTTTGACAAATCGAAGCTAATGTCATAGTTAACACTAGAACTACCAAGCAGTCAAATTGAAGTTTTCAAATTTTTCTATAAGAACTCTAAGACTACAGTTATTGAGATTTCGATTGACTTATGATTCAATTTACGTATTACGAAGTCAATTTCTTCAGTGATTTCGCAAAACATCTGCTATCTTTTCAATAACTGTAAAAGAATAAATCACGAATGGATCATTTTAACCCATTCGGTAGTTCTAGTGTTAAATATAGCCGATAGTTAACACTATTTCTACCGAACTGTCAAAAGACACCTTCCGAAATTTTCAGTTAAAATGCTTTCCCAAATTTAGTCGTATACTCAGAATTGACTTGTCGACTTTTCCAAAAACGATTATAAAATTAACTATAGGAAATGTCGAAAATTTAATCGAGGAAGGATTATTAAAGTGAGAAAATAATTTTAAATGAAAATTTCGAAAGTGTCTTCTGACACCTTCGGTAGAAATAGTGTTAAATACAATAAGCATAATTTATATTCCAGGAGCCAGTACCGCCGAGGCTCAAGAACGAGTAGCCGTAGAAATCGCTCAACAGTTTCTAGTGTTGGCGGGTAAGTCGACCGAGTACGCGGTCACTGGCATCGTGAATGCTCCAATGTTAGCGGGCGCCATGACAGAAGAGAATACACCATGGATAGAATTGTCAAAGAAGTTAGGTCAGATGGCTGTCCGGCTTTCCACGGACAAATCCAAGTTTGTTTTAAAAAGCGAGACAATTGGTAGCGGGATGAAGGAGAAGGCGTTCATTCACACGGCCGTTCTGGTCGGCGCTTTATCCGCGCAAACGAAAAATGGATTGAATTTAATTAATGCACCGTTGCTGGCTCAAGAGATAGGCATCGATCTTCAAGAGAGCCACCAAGAGGCTGAGATCAAAGCCGTCGCGATTGAAGTGGAGGGCCATCGAGTCAAAGGTACAGGAGCTTGCGGTATTGTAGATGAATTAAATACAGTGACTTCCTTGGGACTCGCACTGCAACTTTGTTGGATGCTTGAAATTTGAAGCTCGGTATTGTTAACTTCTAGATTTATTGAACATTAGTCTTTATTTTATCACTTGCTCCTCTAAAGTCCTCTTTTTCCCCATCTTTAATGTTCGGTAGACCTATAGTAGTTCAGCAGATGTCCAGGTCCATTTATGGAGCCACTGTATTTTTTCTATCCATAGTGTGTATATGTATACATATACTGTTGGTTCTCATAAAATTGATCATACAGGAACTGTTCGCAATAACGAACTCCTATTGCTGTCACTGGACGACGCAGTGTTTGCCAACGGGATCGCTTTGGGAAATTACGTTGCTCTGTACCAAGCAAACGGTGTCCAAGATCTGGCACAGATCGTGAACGCATTCTCGACAAAGGGAATCAACATTCACAATTTGAGTGCCAGCGGCAACTGGATAATAATCCAAACCGACCGAGAAGTCTCCGTGAACGTTGATGGCATTAAGAACTTCTAAACTATATGCCTGGCATTCAGGCGCACAAATCTTGAAACATCTCTGTTATTTTTCGTGATCGATGAAATTTACACAGCGGCGATTGATAAGCAATGAAGTATTTTAGTACGACATAACTATATAATTTTCTTATTATTGTATCATTTGCCCTGAAAATAACAGAGATGTTCTGAGGTTTAGTGTTAAGCGATTCGACTTACTAGATTGTCTTCGTTCAATCTCACATTTTTTTTCTGTTTCCACTTATACATGTTTTAGAAAAGATATACAGTATTTGAAAGCTCGAAATAATCGAGTAACGGTCGTTACTTTTAGTATCGACGTATTAGGTCTCTCTTCGCGGTCGTCTATTTATTATTCGACTCAAATAGTTAGGGGATGTGTGCATCGTGTCCGTGTATTCATCGAAAACGCTTTCGAAAAATATATGTATGTATATAAATATTTATACTTTTGTATCGCTAGCATTAATAAAAAATATTACCGTCATTACATACACATATATATATATATATATGAGAAAAAGCATTGAATAAATATTACATGTTCTTTATACAAAAGTACAAGAGAAGTATACATCATACAAAATACTTTTCTCTCTCTTTCTTGGTAGAGTAAAGTTGTTGTGCAAAACACTGAATAACGCAATTTTCTGTAAACTCTAACATATCCAACGTGTGAAACATAAACATTATTAGTTATTTATACAATATAAAATCTATCAATGTCATCACTGAATCTAACATTACAAAAAGAATTTAGGCTCCTATTCTTTGATAACTACTAACATGGCAGCCATTGAAGGTGTAATCAATACCATCCTATAAAAAATAAAAAGATGTTAATTTATGTTATCTAACTGAATTATATTGCATGCAATAAGATCTTCATAAAACATACTCTCACAAGTGATGGCAAATCCCTCCAAAACTTATGATTTGGTATCATTTCCCAGCCTGTTGCTCCTCTTAACAGTTTCAATGTTATTGCTCCGCCAATGAAATATATTCCAGTAATCACAAAAAAGAAAATAAGCAATAAGGAGCCAGTAGAAAGGCCATACGTGCGTATCAACTCTTTACAAACATAAGGAGATACCAACAGCAATTTCTGGAACAAGATTACATAAAATATATTCAAAAGCATTAACATCTTCGTTCACAGAAACATTAGTAAACTTACATAATCCGTATTGCTGACAGCAGAATCTGCTATTAAATGTGTATTGCAAATATTGCAACAAACAAAACCTATACTTGTTGTATAATTTCCATGATGAACAGTTAAAGAAGGATGTTTTGTGGTATCCTCATATACATTTAAGGTGGTTTCTTCAACAGTTCCAAGACTAATAGTATAATTATTATTTGGATCAACTAAGCATACCTAAGAAATTATTACAGATTAGATGAGAAAGCAATGAAGCAGTGTTTACAATGAATATAAAATGATAAAATATATGTATTTCTTACTGATACTCCCTTCCCTTTATGACATTCGCTATTAGGATTTGCCATTGGTTCATTTGAGCATGGATGAAAATAAATAGTACGGTTTTTAGGATCTGCGGGAGCAGGTGCTGTCAAAGGTCTGAAATGAAATATTCATATATAAATAAGAAACACTAGCTGGCATAGTAGAGGTTAGAAGTATTAAGTCTGCTAACCCTAAGGTACTAAGTTTTGTCAGATTATATCCTTGACCGTCAGGAAATACACAGGAGCAAGGAGTTAACTTATGGCATTCTGAAGACGTTTTGTCGCAGAAAAACATCAGAATGACTAATGTAAATATAACGAACTTGCTCCCATCCTTTCTGAACATTTTCATGTAATTCGACGACTGCGCGTTAAATAGTTTACCAGCCAATTTTTTAAGTACACAGTCAAATAATCCCTTTCATGCTACCGATCGCTTACAGACGATGTCAAATTTTGATAGAGCCGTATACAAGTCGTGTACGATTCAAATCTAAAAATTAATTTCTTATTAATTTCTTCGCACCTCCGTTGTTAAGCATTACTACCAAAAATAACAGACGACATGTTTCTGGCCCTCTAGTAGAAAAGTCCGAAACATTTTAAATTGTTAACTAATGGCAAAAGAACGCATTTCTAATTTTTTAAAGAATTATATATTTATCTTTGTATTGCAACACTGAATGATTGTTTTCTTCTTTAATGGAAATACAATAATTAATTACAATCTTTTCAATAATATGAATTTCTGAAGCTTCAATGTTCAAACTTCTTTATAAACAAATATCTAAGCATAAGGTTATATTTATTCAAATTCAAACATAATTTGACATAAATCGTCGCATCGTTACAATCAGTCATTCATTTATTTGAATATATTTTTTTTATTCGTATATATATACATAACAAAATAATATTATAGATCAAATATTTATTGTACTTGAAAATAATACAATACAAATGACGAGGTATACGAGAAGCAATGAGAAAGTGATTCTTAAATGGATTAGACGTCAATAGATTCATATTTAAACTCATAATATTTTAATTCATATTTGTTTATTTCTATCGATGTTCGAAGGTAGGATTATTTACTAAATTTGCATACAAAGTTGCCGCTTCAGAACGAAGATGTCGTTACAGTCGTGATGAGTAGGCGTCATCTAGTCACAACACGCGGAAGTTCGGTTTCGTGCCGGCCAACATCATCAGGTCACGTGACAATAGCATATTGATACGTGTCCGACGAAGGGAGCCACGACTCACTACGATTTGCCAGTCGGGCATACGCGGCCAGGTTTACTCGTGTTTTAGATTGAATTGGGTGTCCTCGCGATTGTGTTGTTCCCAGGCATCATCAGTGAGGAGCGTCGCCTAGAATAGTTAGAACCTCGGATTCAAAATGGGATGTAAGTAGATACCGTCCCCATTCAAAAATATAGAAATGTTTTTGTTCACGTTACACGCCGCGATATTAACCGTAACCGTAACCGTAACCGTAACCTCTTGATTTCCCGTTTTTCCCAACACATATTGCACGTACCATCGAAACCCAAGTTATTTCCGCTCCCTGTTCGATTGTACCGTTAACAAAATAATTATTCACTTTCGGTTTCTGCACTTTTCAGTCAAATTTTTGGAGGTGATAAAACCCTTTTGCAGTATACTCCCGGAAATAGAGAAGCCACAACGAAAGGTAAGTTGACGTTAATCCGCTTTCGTTTCGTCGGTCCACATATGATCTTCTGGCGAGAGATGCATTTTCCGCATTGTTTATTTTCTGTTCTACAGATTCAATTTCGGGAGAAAGTATTATGGACTGCAATTACGTTGTTTATCTTCTTAGTATGCTGTCAGGTAATAGGCCCTTTCCAGTGAACACCTGTTCTGTTTCGTTCCCATTAAAATCTGTAACGAATATATTTCTTTTCTGCGGTCATAGATCCCGCTGTTCGGTATTATGTCATCGGACAGTGCAGATCCTTTTTATTGGATTCGTGTGATACTTGCATCTAACAGAGGAACTCTGATGGAGTTGGGTATTTCTCCCATTGTTACTTCCGGTTTGATCATGCAACTGTTGAGCGGTGCAAAGATTATTGAAGTTGGCGATACCATAAAGGACAGAGCTCTGTTTAATGGAGCACAAAAATGTGAGAGATTTATATATTTTTATAATGTGTCTGTAACAACTTTTACCATAATATTCCATTCGTGTAAATTTACAAAACTATTTTTGTAGTATTCGGTATGGTCATCACTGTTGGTCAAGCTATTGTATATGTAATGACTGGCATGTATGGAGATCCAACAGTAATTGGAGCTGGAGTTTGTTTATTAATCATTATTCAGTTGTTTGTTGCTGGTCTGATTGTATTATTGTTGGACGAATTACTTCAAAAAGGATACGGATTGGGAAGTGGAATCTCTCTCTTTATTGCTACCAATATTTGTGAAACAATAGTATGGAAAGCATTTTCTCCAGCTACTGTGAACACTGGTACAATTTTTTTGTCATTTTTCTGTGCTCTGCAACGATATTGAATCATTTATATTAACTAATCCACTTATTAAACATTTTAGGACGTGGTACGGAATTCGAAGGTGCTGTAATCGCATTGTTCCATTTATTGGCTACAAGACAAGACAAAGTCCGAGCTCTTCGTGAGGCTTTCTACAGACAGAACCTTCCCAATCTCATGAACTTGCTCGCCACCATTTTGGTATTCGCGATTGTGATCTATTTCCAGGTAACATTATCAGTCTAATCAAATAGCCCATACAACATTAATAGTAATTCGAATGGAAACTATAATCGACTTTCAATTAACAGGGCTTCCGCGTTGATTTGCCAATCAAATCTGCCAGATATAGAGGCCAGTACAGCAGCTATCCTATCAAATTGTTCTACACTAGCAATATTCCAATCATTCTTCAATCCGCGCTGGTATCTAATTTGTACGTGATCTCGCAAATGTTAGCTGTTAAATTCCAAGGGAATATTATTGTCAATCTTCTGGGAGTGTGGTCGGATGTCGGTGGTGGTGGGCCAGCTCGGTCTTACCCCGTTGGGGGGTTATGTTACTATTTATCACCCCCAGAATCCGTAGGACATATTCTTCAAGATCCCATTCATGCTGTCCTCTATATTTTCTTCATGCTTGGTTCCTGTGCTT